AAGGGCTAAATGCAGTAATAACATGGTGATATTCAAAACTTATTTTTCCCCCACATTCACTCATTAATGAGAAGTTGCTGATCAGATATGGTTTTAGTTGAAAAATATTAAGTTATGACTATCTTATATTCTATATTTTTGAATGCATTATAACATTGTGTTCACAGACTGTGTTACACTGACCCCTGCTGGTGTGTGTGTGTGTGTGTGTGTGTGTGTGTGTGTGTGTGTGTGTCTCCTGCAGGATCAGTATAAGTTCTGTTATGAAGTGGCACTGGAATACTTGAATTCTGGGTAATCTGAGCAGATGCTGCTCTAATGTCCCGATCTTCTCCATCCTCATCATCCCGGACACTGAAACACAGCGACGGAAAACTGAAACCGGAGCCGAAGCCATGTTTCTCAGCACACCATCTTCATCCGCTCGCGTCTGCTGTTCCTCCAACACTTCTCTTGCCTTCGTCTCATTGGACGCCTGTCTTCATGTTTGTGTGGAATGCGACGTCACGTGGATGTTGATTTTATCATAGTTTTTATGAACTCTATGTACAGTCGGTCATGCGTGGCATTAAAGCGCTCATATTAACTTGTGTTTCTGCCCTTTCTGTGGTTGTGTTTGTGTGGAACGATGGAAAAACTGCTGAAATTGTCGCGCGCTGAAACGTCCCGTCCGAAGATCCAAAGCTCGTGTTCGTGATCTTTTTTTTGTTTGTTTTTGTTTATACTGTAAATAGATGAAGTTCACCAGATAATTTATTCATTGACAGATTTTTGTGAAGCACACTGAGTGACAATCATGTTTTAATTTGGTCATTATTATCATACGGACTCCACATGTAATAGTGACCAGATTGTATGGTTAACTTTTTATTTATCTGGTATGAAAAAAAACAAAAAAAACAAAATCAAACCTATAAATACATATCTATATCTGCCAAACCTGTCGTCCGTGTGTTTTTTGTGCAAAGAGAAGCAGTTTGTACTGTAATATATACTGTTGTGTGTGTGTGTGTATGTATATATATACATATATATAATTGTTTATTTTATTTCAGGTAACAAAATATTCTCTTATGGTTTTAATTTTAGTTTAAGTTTTAGTTAACTACAATCCTGCAATGCATTCAGTGTAATTGTGAAGTGCATTAAAACAGTGTTATTAAAATATTTAAAAAGTACAAATATTTCCTTAATTTAAATAAAATAATCATTGCTGAAATAAAACAAAACATTAATTAAAAAATCCCCCCAAAAAATCAGAAACGGTGCCTTGGCAACTAAACTGAATCGAAATAAGCTTTAGCAAAAAATCTGTCTAGAAGAGGCCAGCAGAGACTGACATTTAGGTATTTCACACAGTTTAAATGGCATCAAGAACTGTAAAATAACAGAATAGAGTTTATAACTCAAAATGTACTTCTTAGAATAAGAATGGGTCATTCCTAATTTTATTTTCACTTAGCCTACGTTTTTGCTGTAATCTTAAAACGTATTTCTAATATCAGACTTTCAGACCATCACATGACGTTTTGAGCACGCAGGCTCTTCATCAGACGATTATGCCTTTATGCAACAGGTGATTAATCACATGACTGAAGAAAGAAACATAAAAAACATCATCAGTGTATGGTTTCCATAACCATGTGATACACAAATCATTGTTCTAACAAATATTACATGTTTCTTTGTTTCTTATTTATTTGATGCAGGTAATATAACAACAATAACAATATCAGTGTTATTGTTATTAATGTTGAATGTTTAGAACTAGTCTTTTGTCCCATATCTGTCCTTTCTTCAGTCTTGTGATTAATCACCTGTTGTATAAAGGCGTGTTGGTTTACATTTTTTAATGTTCGATGAAGAGCCTGCGTTTTGTTTTTGCTCAAATCAGACTTTTAGAAGTCTGACACTTCAGCCTATTAATTATTATTAACCTCATTATATTACTGACGTTTATATTAACTAACTTCAGCTTAACTTCATTATTTATATTCTTTTACTATAGCATACCATAATATGATTTCCACATTCATAATTGGAGTTTAATATTTTAGCCTATATATGACGACATAAAAAAATGTACTGTATAGTAAAAATGACTCAACAGTGACTTGTAAATTCTTATTTGTCATACAGCATTGCCCTTTGAAGTTAGTTTTGGACTTTTTAGCAAAGCCGGTAAAATCCATGTATACTGCCCGTGTTGAATCCAGGGTTTTAATGTGTGTGATGAGTTGAGCTGCTGTAACCTGCTCATGTTCATCTTTCTCTGTCCTTGTCTTGAGTCCCGGTTGACTCTGTGTGAGAATGAAGTAAAAGAGAGAAGACAGAAAAGAAAAGACTAGAAAAAGAACCAGGAAAAAAAGAAACTGGGAGATCATGAAATGATGAAAATGGTGTGGGAAGAATAAGAAAAATCAAGAAATGCATGATTCTCAATAGGCTACTCACTGTCTCTGTTTTTGAAAATGAAAAGGTTGAAGTTAAAGCGTGTGTGTACAGGTGCATCTCAATAAATTAGAATGTCGTGGAAAAGTTCATTTATTTCAGTAATTCAACTCAAATTGTGAAACTCGTGTATTAAATAAATTCAATGCACACAGACTGAAGTAGTTTAAGGAAACCTTTGCAGGTGTTTTGAGTTGATTAGCTGATTGGCATGTCACCATATTGTAATTTGTTGAGATAGTGAATTGGTGGGTTTTTGTTAAATGTGAGCCAAAATCATCACAATTAAAAGAACCAAAGACTTAAACTACTTCAGTCTGTGTGCATTTAATTTATTTAATACACGAGTTTCACAATTTGAGTTGAATTACTGAAATGAACTTTTCCACGACATTCTAATTTATTGAGATGCACCTGTAAGTGTGTATGTCCAGGAGAGGCCAGCAGAGACTGACTTTTAGGCTTTTCCATGCACAGTCTAATGACATCAAGAAGAAAAACAAAAGCATGATAGAGACTCCAAAAATATACTTTTGAGAACAAGAGTTGGTCATTCCTGAAGCTTTCAGCTCGAAAAACTGAAAAGGTTTGTGTTGTAATTTTAAGAATTCAATAATTATAACTTGGAATGGTATGTTCATAAAGAGCTCAAGTTAGTTATTGAGTCTCACTGAAGGACTTCTAGTGAGGCTTTCAAGAAGCAAACTAATGTCACCAAACTCAGTTCATCCCTGATAATATTGTGCTGCTGTTGATGCCACTTTCTGTAGGATGATGTCAATACAAAAATGGTAAATTACCAGATAAAACATTGTTTTTATTCCTAAGAAAAAAAATGTAATCTTTAAAATTTGAGTTTAATATTTTATCCAATATATTCAGATTATATTATCATTATATATCTGAATATATTGGCTAGTACAAATTATATATTGGATATACTGAATAGTACAAGTGATTCAACATCAGGGGCACATAATGAACTGAAGTTTTGAACTTTTCAAGCCTAAAAACTGTAAATTGCATGTGAATGTGTTTAATAATCCGGCGTCTCGTGATTGACAGCTGCAGGCATCCAATCACATCCGCCCTTATAGAAGCGTTGAGTCCCGCTCAGCCAATGGTTGTGCTATTAAGACCGACGCGTCCCGCCTCTCAGGGCGAGTTCAGCCAATCCGAGGCGCTCATTCCTGCATAATTAACGCAGGCTTGCGGTGGGCAGTGACGCGGAGTCTGAGACTCTCCTCGCAATTCGTCGAAAATACTCGGATTTCGTACTTTTCCCCTTTCAATCTTCACGACGCTAAAACGCAAAACCGGATCAAATCCATGTGATTTCGCTTGTTCCAGACCAGACTCGCCCTCCTCTTACATGTGGATATTGATGCGGTAGGGAATAGATAAAGATGCCGCAGCCGAAATCGCGAAAGATCGCCGTCCTGGGCTACAGATCCGTCGGTGAGTGGCTGTCGCGGCCGGTGCGAAGCGTCAGCCTTGCGTGTTATGTGTCGTTTGCATCGGCTTTTGATATTTCCCGCATGCATGAGATTCGTGTGAATGTCACCCCGCGCGCCGCATGCATTTAAACACCATGCATGCTCTGAGACACATCCGATCCTGAAACACACCGTGCATCCTCGTGCATTTAATCCCACACCTGTCTTTAGGACGTGAATGCGGTTCTGCAGATGCATGCAGGCCTCGAGTCTCAGTGCTTATTCTGCCTGTATGCATGCTTTGTTTCATGCATTTTCATTCTGTCTGTGTTCGTATCTTCTGTACATATGTCAGCACCTCACAGAGGCCTGTGTTCATTTAGAGGCGCTTCATGTTATTTCTATAAGAGGTTTCCAATCTTTTAGATGCCACGGGCCACAAATATGAGCATCCTCATGCAAGGGACCCTCAACCTCACATTTAAAAGGAGGGCAGCTAAATATTTTCATGTATAAAGACCTGATTTACATTGGTATGCTTGCTATATACTTAACCAGTATGATGCTATATTTGGAAAATATTTAGTTTCTATTTATTCTATTCTACTCGCTGTAGTACTGCACTGTTAGATAGATAGATGGATAGATTGAACTAAAGAAAGAAAGTTGAATAGATTTTTTAAATGTATTTATTTATAAGGTTTATTTAATTATATTATGCTTATTTATATACATTTTTTATTTTAAAATGTAATATAATTTTATCCTTGAATTATTTTAATATAATTATATTAATTAATATATTAATCAGTTATCCTTGTATGTGCAAACATACTTGGCAATAATGCTCGTTCTGATTATTTATTTTAATATTTTTTTATTATGTATTTGTTTGTAATGTTTGTTTAATTATGTTATGCTTTTATTTAGATCTGATTTTTATTTTAGATTGTAATAATATAATTTTATCATTGAATTATTTATTTTGATATAATTATTTATTATATTAATTTAATTATCCTCGTTTGTGCAGACATACTTGGCAATAAATCTTTTTCTGATTCTGATTATTTAATTTTTATTTTTTATTATTTATTTTTACATTTTAGTACTGTTTTTCTCTTTTCTAAGGACCCCGGTTTAAAAACTGCTGATCTATAAACTGAATTAATACATTATTTCTGAATCATTCACAGTGTGATGTTGTGAATGAGTTTGGATGCTGCAGGATTATCCAATCAGAGACCAGATCCAAGTCTGAATTGTAACAGTTATTAACCGATATATCGGCCGATATTTTGAGATTATCGGCATCGCCCAATACCTGCTACTTTATATCAGTTCCCATTAACATTCAATGTTAATAAATAATGCTTTTTAAAAAATATTTTTAGGGAAATGTGTACAAATGTGTACAGTTTATGTGTCTACATCTGAACATATATATTAACATGTATAACACATACTGTATATATCAGCATTATATCGGCAATCTATACTAAGTTGTTGTATCGGCAATCTAAAAAAAAAATATTTCATTGAAAACAAGCTCATATTTATAATGAATTCTAAGATAAGATTCTGATCTGATCTCAAACATGTGTTTTGTGTAGAATTAGTTCTGTGTTCAGTTTGAATGTTTTTCTCTGCACAATGAGTGACTCAGAAAGTTTCCCATCAGCCCCCTGGAGTCAGATCCTGATCTGCTGGATCGTGTTGTGTCATATAGAGCAGATTTCTTCTCTCTGCAGTAAAGCGTTTACACAGAACATGCGTGTGCTGATGCGTGTGACGCTTGAGAGAACATGCCAACATCACATCAGGACACACACGAGTGCTCTGCAGCCTTTAGGAGCCGTTCTGTTCACACAATCAGCACCAGACCTCCAGCATTCATTCTTTGCTCTGCACTCAAGTTCAGCCTCAAGTCACAGTGAAATCGAGGATGTTTGTTCAGTGAAGTGTATGTTTGTATGTATATAAATAAATAAATGCACCAAAATGATTTTTTTATACCAAAAATGAAATTAAAGTTTTATCTAGTCGAAAGCAGAGACAAAAAAAAAAAAGGTTTTGTAATCAAATTTAGGTAATTGAGCAGTTGAACTCGCCTGTCAATATTTCAGCCAAACAAATCATATATTTCACCTCGAGCATAATTTTTGGTCAGAGATGTGCTAATTTAATGTCGATGACTTTGGCCCTTTGGAACAAACATATCTATCTATCTATCTAACGTTCTATCTATCTATCTATCTATATCGTTGTATCATTCTATCTATCGTTCTATCTATCCATCCATCGTTCTATCCATCTATCATTCTATCTATCTATCGTTCTATCTATCTATATTGTTCTATCTATCATGCTGTTTTGGATTAATATTTTCAGTCGCCAAAATTTCGGTGCATCAGGGTTATTATAGTTAACTGAAATTAAAATTAAAACCATAAACAATTACTTAAATTTTAAGAAAAAAAAAATGGTAATCTTTTATAACTTGATGTACTGAAATAACTAAAACTGAAATAAAAATGAATAAATGCTATACAGACACATCAAAAAAAACTACTAAGAATGACAAAAATTACAAAAACTTTAAAATTAAAATACAAAAACAGTAAAAACGAATTCAAAATATTAATAAAAACTATAAACGTATGTGATTGGGTTTATGTTTCATGTTATTTTGCATGTTCATAACACAAACAGCTAAACTGTTTTTGAGTCTGATTTGCCAAAACATCATATTTTTGAAAGCATGCAGGAAAATCCATGTTGGTTTTGTGTTTGATTAAATGAAGCGTTCAGCTCTTATGAGGTCACTTCAGGCCTCAGTATGGCAGAAGCATGTGAACTTTAACCGCAGATAACATGATGTATGTACGTTTCTGTCCTTTAGACCGACTCAGTTCTGCGCTCGTGACATTTCTGGCTCTCAGCTCAGTATGAGTCCATGCCGTAACCCTCACTAGTCTGCACTAACGAACGCCTTTGAGTTTCTGATGCTGGACTCGGTGCCTTCTGTGGAGTCTCGAACCATCCTTAAACTCTCTGATTTCCAAAAGCAGTGGAGTATGAAGTCATTAAACCCATCTGGGCTTTGTTTGCGTGCAGGGTCACGCGCGGCTGATGGGAACTATATGTTCCTGATGCGTTTGCTCCTGTTTCACGCTCTATTTATAGAGCTGATGAGGAAGGATGCTTGAAATCCGATGCGCTTCCATTAAAACGAAGGGAAGGCAGGGCTGCTGCTGCTCTCTAATGGCTTTACGATCGAGAAGCGCTTGTAATGAACAACTCAAACCTGACCTACAGTAGCAATGCCTTTTATAGACTCTTAATTCATATTCCTGGTCTGACTGTGAAGGACTCATCAGTCACGCTGTTCTAATGGAAACAAATGTTCATTTTTGTCATTGTCTTCAGCTTGCTTCGTTTCTTAAATGGTGTTCTTTTGGTTGATGTCATTAATCATTAACTCTGTTATGATAGACGATCCAACTGTAAATATTAGAGGTCGACCGACTGATCGGTTTTGCCGATATATCGGTACCGATAACTGATTGAACAGACGATAGTTTGCGAGAGCGACCTCTAGAGGCCAAATCTCTGAGCCCTCCTAAAGTTTTTGACATCTTTAAAAGCTATCTTGTTTGTATTTATATTAAATGGTTAATCTAACATTAACTGAAATTATGAAATGCTGTAGAAGTATTGTTCATTGTTAGTTTTAACATTTATCGATACATTTTTAAATTTTAGAGTTGTTTCTTTTAACAGTAGTTTATGCACTATGAACATGATCAAGGTATAATTAATATAAAAATTAATATAATATTTAATATTAATATTTATTTAATTTAAAAAAGTACAGCACATTTTCAAGGTTCAGTATAATTTATTTATTTATATATATATATATATATTTTTTTTTTAAGTTGACTTTTATTAAGACAAACTTTGAAGGCCCGTTTACACCAAGAACCATAATAGTAATAATATTAGCGTCCACGATAGCACTGCAGTTTTGTTGTCTGCCTCTTTAAATACACAAGCTCATTAAAGTCGGGTGGATTCTGATTGGCTGTCAGTGTTTTCATCGTTCATCAGCTAGAAATAAGTAGTTTGGAAGTATTCCAATGCTATGTGTTGTCGTCATTATAGTTGTAATGTGGACATTTTCATAGAATTATAACAATTTTTAGAACTTTATATGTCCTTTTTTGTAAGATGGATTTAAAAGAATGTTTTATCACAACAAGTGCATTTAATAAATCTTGTATAGGGTTGTATATGAAAAAATTGATCCCTTTTCTAAGTTTAACTTTGTAAAATGTTTGTATTTATTGTTTGTTAAATGATAATAATCAGTCAGCAGTAATGCTCAGGAAAAAAAAAACAGATTTATCACTGCGCTTGTCTGGAAACTTTCACATACTGAAAGCATATTCTGTTTATTGATTGTAATGTTTCTTTGTTCCCTATTATTGCTTTATATTTATATGTTTTAACGGTATATTTAGTTGGTTATAATTCTTAACACACAGTTGTCATAAGTATAGGAGTGAACCGTCTTTGTATTTCTATAGACTTTGTTCAAAGTAGCTAAACTCATTAATTAATAATAAAAAAAAAAATGTAGATCAAGAATCCTTTTGGAATCTGATTGCGACTCCATTAATGATCTGATTGTGATCGTTTAATCGATATTTGCCCTTTGATAACATGTGAAGCTGATATAGCTATTATAAATATCATAACTATATCAATAGGAGAAATCATAAGACCCAATATGTGACTGTAGCCCTGCCTTACGTTTTAAAGAGCCAGTCACCTTTCTTGTCAGTTTGTTACTTTTGAATGTGAGTGTTTATATTTGAATGTATCGTTTGAGGTGATGAGACGGAGGTTCTACAGTTGTTACATTTTATTCCTAAATTAAATGTAACAAACAAAATTTAAATTTTTGGAGCCATATAAAAAGTCAAGCAGTGGCCGGACGTGAATAAAAAGGACTTTAGTTTTCACAATCCAGTTCATTTGTGATGGATTTAGTTGTTTTTTGAGCGTCCCGATGTTTCTGTGTGCTTTTCCCTGTCAGTGAGAGCTCGCATTTACAAACGCTGGATGCGGAGAGGAACTGGCCGTTGTTATAGCAACAGGCCACAGGGCAAATCTGCCCACACACTCGTGTGTGTGTGTGTGTGTGTGTGTGTGTGTGTGTGTGTGTGTGTGTGTGTGTGTGTGTGTGTGTGTGTGT